TACAGACTCACGCAGTTGGAAAGGCGACAAAAGCGATCAGTGGAGAACCGGTGGGTGGTACACTGGTTGGTATGGTGATCAAGGCCAATGGAGCCAAACTGTCAGTGAGTCTCCTGGCAGTCTTCTGGTTGGTCCAAAAGTGACTGGGTGAGTCCGTACCAGTGGGAGGAAGAATTGAGCAAAAGCTTCTACGGGGAGAAGATCTTCGTGATGTTGAAGCATGCTCATGCCCCTGAGGATTATATTCCCAAGTTGACAGGGATGATTTTGGACTCACATAGCGTGGGCGAGCTGAAGGAGCTGGTTCAGGATCGGGAAGAGCTACGTGAGCGCGGCCGAAAGGCTTATGATGTTTTGATGGAAGCCGGATGGAATTCGGCAAAAGACTACGTGAATGAGGAATGGGATTATCCCAGAAAGTTCTTTGAGGATGATCTGTACACGTTTCTGTGTCGAGAGTCGAAGTTCTCCAAGGAAATGGCATCCAGGTTGGTGGAAACAGTCCTGCATGCTGGAGACGAATCGCACTGGCGCTACTGGCGGGATTACCCAGATGAGTTTCTGAAAGAGGCTAAACTGGCAATGAAGGCAAGGGTCCGCTGGAATATCTGGATCCGGAAAAGGTTCGGCCGGAGCATGTGAGGTCTCAACAAAGATCAGAATCTCGTTATAGGATGACGCCTTGTCGGTATTTTGCGAGAGGGAACTGCAAAAATGGGGAGCACTGTACCTTTGCGCATACAACGATGAGAGAGGAACAGCCCACCAACGCGGAGGCTCAAAGCCCGAGTGCATCGCCAACAGATGAAGGCGAAGTGGATGAGGCCCAGCAGGAGAGGGACTCCCTCGCGTTCAACGAGAAGTACAACTATGGGAAAGGTTCTGCAAAAGGGGGATTCACTGAAGGACCGCCGCGTGTCGTATGGGGACAGGCGCAGATTTTATCATGACGATGAGATACAGTCTCCTGAAGAACATCGTGAGGAAGGACGAATGTGGGACGACAAGTCCAGAATGGCGCTGAGAACTGCAGGACTGCATACGGTCTGTTTCAGCCATCATCTGAAGTCTTTCTGCAGAAATGGGGATTGGTGCAAATGCAGTCATGAGACATTATCTGCTGAGCGATTGAAACAGTTGAGCGATATTGTGCAACAAGCACATCATCTGAAGCACGTCCAGGACATGGGTAGGGAGGTTCCCAAACAGAAGCCACAGGCTACTGACAGTACGGTATCTGTTGGTGGTACGGCTTCAGCTTCCTCGTCGGGACCGTCCTCTGACAATCCCGCAATGGTATATTCTGGAGATCAAAGTGCTTCGTCATCGGGACCAGTTTCGGCTAATCTCGCAACAGGGAAGCCTGCAGATCAAAGAGGTACAACTGGAGTTGGCGATGACACAAGTGGAGATGATGCTCAACTGGATACAATATCTGGAGTTCAAAGTGCTGTTCCGGTCCAGGATCTGCGTGAACCATTTCGTGACTGGATAGCCAAAGGTCCGCTGCGGGCAGTCACGCCAATGCTTCTGAATATAATGTGTCGAACGTGTGGCAGACCTCACTCAGTTTGTGTATGTGGAAGATCTGGTGGAACATGGGTTGGATGAAACGGAGGCTGTGCGTTTCACGACATTATCAGGGGATGTGAGACACCGGCCTGACAACCCAGATCCAGCGTTTTATGGTGCGACTCGCGCTGACACGCAAAATGTGTCTCGCACTGGTCAAGCTGGGACTGTCAGGACTTTGACAGAAGTACGTCAGTCGGAGGCTGTGTCCAATGTGACAATGCCAATGGGAACGTACGCGGAGGTCCTAAAGCGTGGACGGGGTCAACACAGGGGTATGTGGACGTGAGACGTGGACATGCAGGCTCATGTGGAGTTAAAGGGCTACGTGGCCAACACCGGTTTCCCACTCTGTCAAATTGGTGGACAAGGAGAAATAGCATGGACCCATTTATTGTGGAAGAATGGACGAGAAAGTATGCTGGAATTTCTTCAAGCAGCTGTGTGTGCTGATGAACTGGAGAAATGGCGAGGACGAGGAGCAGGATCCCTCGTGTTTGCTGTTGGAGGTATGGACAGTCTGTAGGTGAGAACGGCGAGGTCGTTCGAGAGACTCCTGGAGGTTAACTGACGTCTGAGTCGATAGATGCTGGAAGAGCTCCTGAGGTTTCGCCGGAGGAGGTTGTGAGCGAGAGGAGCCTTTCAGAGGAGACGTCATCCTTTTCACACAAGCGCTGTTGGAGTCGGCAAACTCGCTGCGGCAGACTAGCAGAAAGAATATTCGACAGCACCAAAGGCTATCCTGGAGAGGGGCTTGTTTCTCTGGAAAAAAGGGTTTAGGGAGAAGCGCCGCAAACTGAAGGGTTGGAGGGGAAAAGTGTGAAATTCCGCTAAAAAAGTGTCCCCTCTTGAAAGGTAGAAGAAGAGATGGATCGATAGCTTCTGGCTCAGGAACATTGACAGACAAAGGTATGTCTAATGAGTCGGAACTTCAGGCCTGTTTGGGTGATTTAACTCCTCACATTCTGTGACCTCAGACGGTAGTGTGCTAATAGCTGGCCATGGTCGTTTTGCGTGAAAGTGCTGGATGGATCGCCGAGAAGCCGAGAAGAGTGAGATGAGACGGCAAGGGATCTGCTTCTGGTATCACGAAGGAACGTGTCGCTATGGAACTGGCTGAAAATTTAAGCATACAAAAGATGACGTGATTCTGAAGTCATACTGGTGCAAGCATTATGTCGCTGGAAGAGAATGTTTTGAATGTGATCGGTGTCCGTATTCCCATGACACAGCTGGAGAAATATGTCATCATTGGAGAGACACTGGAAGGTGTTCTCGTGGAGATAGATGCGTTTTTGTGCACGCGCGTGGAAACGAACGGCCCAGATCTCCAGAGCATCCTCCACCTCCACTTCGTCGTCGGTCTGGAGCAAAAAGGAAGTCACCAGAGCCGCTGGAGGATGAGGTAGCTGAAGATGGGATGGGTTATGACGAGGAAACAAGAACGTTCGATTTGCTGGCAGAGGCTATTTCCTTCATGTCAGCTGGCAAAGGAAATGTGGATCGCTGGGAAGACGAGGCGATTTTAAAATTTCTCAACATTCTGGCAACGAAGACGTCAAGAACGAGGTGGATGTCCTGGACGGATGGTCTGCTGGAACCTCTTAAGTTGCTGGAGGTGGTGAGGCAGTACAATATTCCGACAGATGAGGTCGAAGCGTGGACCAATACTCTGCGAATTTGGTATGAGAGAACCAGATCGGATCAAGACGGAGTTCCTGAGAAGTCTGCAAGGAAGGAGACAAAGGCCAGAGAGGAGGAGCCAAATGCAGTGTCGCCTGAACGTGAGGAGACTGTGGACGTTGAGGACAATGTTCCGTTGGTGGATCTGGAGTATGAACTGGAGGAGTCCTGGAGGAGCCAGTTGGCGCAACTGGTGAGACGCTTCCAGAACAAAGCGGTTTGGAAGAAGAACAAAATAATTAAAGTGAAGAAGCAAAGCTGTCACAAAGCAGAGCGCCAAGGCTGTCGTCAAGCCACTCGCCAAGAAAAAGCCGGCGAATATGGTGGCTGGGGATAAACAGGCCAAGGTGGTACAAAGAGCTAGAAGCTCAGATGACAGCGATGATGTTCCTCGTGGAACAAGGGTGAAGCCGGTGTACACACCATTGAGACGCGTGGGGCCCGCGAAGCCAGTCTTTGGTGAAAGGACGGACGGAGAAGCCTGCCGATCTTGTGAAACGAAATACTGTACCGGTAACAGCAAGCAGAGTTCCGCAGTCTGGAAGTCCCCTACAAGAGATTTCTGGTCAAGTGCCGACAGGTCGTCCATTGGCGTCGTCGCATGTTGCCGTGGATGAAGCAAAGAGAGAAGGAGTTGTCCTGTCGATACAGCGGTGTTTGGGAGATCCGAGCATGGGGATTGATGATCTGGAGGACGTACTGGTGCACACCTATAAGATTTCGGAGGCGAAGCGCGCTGCACCGAGCTGAAGTAACTGAACAGTTTGGAAGGTTTTACCGAAAAGAAAAGCACCTGTTGCGCAAAATTTTTGTGTTTGGAGTCTTGCTGGTCAATGGGGCTGGGAGTTTCAGATATCTCAGATATTTGGTGATGCTGGAGTGGGAAGATGGAAAAAGAAGTCACCGCAGGTGTTTGGAAAGGGTTAATAGGGTTGTGGGGATAGGTCCCGAACTCGCGTAGGCAGCGTCGATCCCGTGGACGCGCCGATTGCATCCTCCAATAGGGGTGGTTGAGTCCTCAATGGTGGGAGTTAAAGGTTGCACTCAGCTAATGGCTACGGCACCGTCCCGCGAGACGTTAAACAAATCTTGGCTGCTGACTATGAGCAGTGTTTGGCCATGGGCCAAGTAAAACAAAAGGAGTCATCTACAAAAAGAGGCATCAAAGGTGTCCCAGGAAACCTGGGACAGGGGGAGTGCGGAGATGACATTGGTGTTTGAAGGAGTCGTTGTACAGGAGGGAGAAACCTCGAAATATTCTGGCTCAAGGGATGGCCAAAGTGGAAGGCCAATCTGTACAAAAGGTAAGCCCCGGGGTTTGGGTTGGGGGTGTTGGTAATAAGACCCTTGCTGGCTTAGGCCTAGGTAACCTGCGCTGGACCCCCTTAATCCTGGGTGGTCCCTTTCAGGGAGTAAAGGGTTTTCGTGTGTGTGTGTGTGGGTGTGTGTGTGTGTGTGTGTGTGCGTGTGTGTGTGTCTGTGTGTGTGTGTGTGTGTGTGTGTGTGTGTGTGTGTGTGTGTGTGTGTGTGTGTGTGTGTGTGTGTGTGTGTGTGTGTGTGTGTGTGTGTGTGTGTGTGTGTGTGTGTGTGTGTGTGTGTGTGTGTGTGTTGTGTTGGTCGGTCTGGGGAACATATGGGCAACTGTTAGGGCTGATAGTTCCTGTTCCTCCTTCGGTTGCCCCCGTATAGGGTTTAGGGTTTGAGGGTGCCCAGGGAAGTGCACAGCCCGAGGTAGGCAAGGACGCCTCTTCAAAAGACACGGGCGTCGGCGGTCGCTGAGCTGGCACATGGGCATCCTGGTCAGAACTACTGGTTTCTCGAGGTTTGCAGGCTGCTTGTGCTGCTGCTTAAAAGAAACAGACGGACTTCCCAAACCCCAAACCCTGAAACCAAAACCTTCCAGTCGACTGGCACAAGGGGTGAGTCCAACGCCAGGGAGGCGTCAACAGCTCAAGGCTTTGAGTTATGGCTGCATCGTTTTTGGAGGTGTGGCAAACTTTGCTTCCTGTGGTCTGCGGGGACATTGGGAGTTGTGCAAACCCTATAGAAGCCTTATAAGCCCCCTCAACCCCCCCGACTGCTTGACTCGAGCCAGTGCCTCCTGCGCCGTGGAATCCTGCATCGTTTTGCGGGTTAGATGTGGATGGTACTAGCCCAAAGAAGACCTACAGGTCCAAGTACCCAAGGTTTAGGGTTTGGGGTTTAGGGGTTTAGGGCCGTGAAGGGCTTTCTGTATAGCATCTTTAGGGCACAAGTATATACGATGTGGGCACATGAACCCTTATAATCCCTTATAGGGAAAGAGGATAACCCATGTACGGGAGGAGATTCAAAGGGCAATTGTAGGCAGAAGCTAGGATTTCCAAGAGGGCCACCTTCAGTGCGGTCTTGCTGTGCGATTTGGAACACAGGGCACGCGCACGGCGGATGCACAGGCAGCTGAGGCATATCGTCGCAATAGACCTGGGATGCGACATGCTAAACATTTCAAGGCCTGCAAGACTTCCACAACTTCCGTAGTTGCAGGCTGCGTGTTCAAGGCTACAGGCTGACACGCTTCACGGTGCCCGATGAACGCTCCCCCTAAAAGCACCACAGAGCCAGTCAGGGGGCGCCAGCACAAGCACGGCCACCAGTGTGACGCCCGGGCCCTGAAGGCCGCTTCAAATGTGAAGCTTAGGGGTTGGTTCTCAGTCGGTGCCTATTTGGGGAGTTGCAGGACTCGATTGTGATCTTCCTACTGTACTCCTTGTAAGGTATATGGACCACAAGATTTCTGGGGTTAGTTTAGCCCCTCAGGTAGGAAATGACACTAAACCCCCTACTCATTGTTAGGGCTTAGGGTTCCTCGGAGCATTAAAAAGCCCTTCCTTTTCCTCTTCGGTTTGTGTAAGGGGACCGCTGTGAGGATATGATTGTAAGGGAGGGAAAGAAGAGAGCGACCGCACGAATCATACTGCAACAGCGGTGAAAAGCACCAAAAATGCAGCAAATTCAGAATGGTCTTTTTGCCCTTATAGTTACTTATTCACTACATTCACGCGTTCACAAGCTTTTTGTTACCGCGAGCTTGCGAACGGGCTAGTAAGTAAAATATGGTCATCTAAGCTGTGCACATGGGTGAGGAAAGCGACCTCTATTTCCAGGATTGTCGGCTTTTTGCCAGCTTAGAACTGCCGCTGGAACCGTATTAACATTCGTTTGAGCATGTGAGCGAGCACGCTTTCATATTGCCCACACACTTTTATTGCTATGATTATTGTCTGTTATCGCGCATTTAGCTCCTTGCACGCGAATTAACGATAAAACTTCCGAGGAAATATGTTAACATATACGCAATAAAGAGACCCTACATGTGTATTGTCATTTTGGGGGCTCTTTGTCGCTCAGTTATACTTATTAAGGGTTCCAGCTCCTTTGGGACATGCTATTTCTTCCTAATACCACCCCCCTAACACCCCAATGATATTTCAACGGGTTCTTCGGAGGGAATCCTAAAGGTAACAAAGAATCCTGGTAATCGAAGGAGATGTCGTAAGTTGTTCTTCTGAGATTGGTATTATAAGGAGTGTAAGGGCGCATGAAAACCAATTTCTTCTACAAAGGTCTTCGAAGCATGCGTACCTTCGTGTTACCAGTACATCCATCGACCAGAGCATCCATGCCCGAGCCATGATTGTTTTCGGTGTTCAACCGATGAAGCTGCTCTTTCAAAAAACTGTTGGAGGCTGGGGTGAAGAAGAGAAGACGCCGAAACATAACCCTAAACCCTGGAATCTATAGTGTTTTTGGAGTTTCCTTCGAAGGCTTCGGGCCGCGGACCTCCGGTAGACCCACAGATCCGCCCTGGACCCGCAAGCTTTGGGGACTAAAGGCCAGTGTGCCTAAGGAAGCCTGCATACACTCACCAAATCATGACCAGAACCCAAACCCAGGACACCCACACGGTTTAGGGTTTAGGGTTTAGGGTTCAGCATCTCATGTCCAAGCATTCACCAGTCGAGCAGTGTAGGTTTAAACCTAGCAAAAAAACCATCCGCCCAAAGAATCCCATAACATTCAGAAATATAAAGGGTTTCTTCCCGGGATGGCCCGTGACGACCACAAGCCACGAAGAAATGACCACAAGCCATGAAGAAACGACCACAAGCCACGAAGAAATGACCACAAGCCACGAAGAAATCACCACAAGCCACGAAGAAATGACCACAAGCCAAGTTACGAAGAAATGATCACAGGCGAAGAAATGACCACAAGCCACGAAGAAATGACCACAAGCCACGAAGAAAAAAACACCCGTACAGTAGGGAGGCGTTGGGTTGGGGCGCCGGGGGGGGGGGGGGGGGGGGGGGGTCCGATGCTAGCTCCGATTTCGGCATCCGGAGGGGGTAGGTTTAGCGTTTAGGGTTTAAGGGTTGAAGGCAAACATTTGGGGGAAATTCCAGGCCTCCCAAGTCTTTGGGCTGTTGCTGAGCGGGTCCTGGCACAAGATGTAAACATTGGGTAGTTCCTTTTTGTTTCCAGGGTTTAGGGTTTAAGGTTTAGCCCAGTAGCCGAGGAACACAGGTCATTCTGCTTTGCTATCTTAGGTTGATAAGGGATCCGAACCCTGGAACAAGGAATCTGGGGTACTACTAGGCGTCCTTCGAGTCTAGGGTCTAAGGGCTTTTGAAGTCGGAATAACAAGGACAGGCGGCTACCCATACAGAAGTGTGTACTTCTGAAGCTTCGCGTGGTTCTCAGCAGCTTTCTTTTGCAACTCGAGTGCTGGTTGGGGTTTAGGGTTTAGGGTTTCGGGTTTAGGGTTTGGGGTTTCGAGCTTTGATGGCTAAGGACTCGACAATCGTCCCAGCCCAAACCCAGAGTCTCCGGCGCATGCAATGGCTCCAACGTGTATCTCTGGGTGTCGATGCTGATGCCAGCCTTGTCAGTATGGAGTCCGCTCCCAACCTGAAGCCGTTCAGCCTTTCAGCCCCGAATACGTGCAGAGCCCTACATCCCAAAAAGGCCTGAAACATGTCGCCTAACCCCAATCAGGCTGTAAGCGTGCTCAGATCTCCTCCTCTAGCTTTATTCACAGTACGGCCCCCAGCATGTGCCCCGCGGACTTGCAGGCTTAACTCTCAAGTGCGCCTCGGTTTGCTCCACAGTGTGCTAAGATCAAGTCAGGATTCTGTCAGCAAAAACGATTCAGCCTTTTGCTGAAAAGCCCCTTAATTATCCTTAAGATGTCGCTGTTCATGACAAAAATAGCAGGCCTGCCGAGACTGTTTAACGCCCAACCTCTCGAGTTTCAAGTTGCATCCCTTCGAGTGCTCAGAGGCGGGCGGAGAAGGTGCCAATGCGATCAAGCGCGTGCAACGCGCTGCTGCTTCTCCGCATAACCTCTCCCCATCACAAGCAGTGGGCATCAGCTTCGTCAGCTGCTGCACGACAACTGCGAAACTTAACAGCTAACACAACAAGGGAACTGTGACAGCAGGCAGTGTGGCCCACACGGCCAAGCCTCCTCCCTCAAGCGGCCAGTGAGGTCGCTCGGATCGTCCCACGCCGCTGCAGAGCCTTTGAGGGCATTGGCACAGTGCACCGACTTGCGGCTTGTGTTCCTGTTGAATTTGACCCCAACCAGAGCAGCCAAAAAGGGCAATCTTCAGGCTGGACACGCATCTCGTGAGAGACACCGCCCTCGTTTGGTCATAGTCATAGCTCATATGTGAAAACAACAACAGACGTATCACTAAATATACAGTACACAGAAATTACTTACTTTCAAGGTTCCGATATTGTCGTGATTGAGGCCCATACTCTTAACCTGAGAGTGTCACCTGGACGCGAGCTGACATGAGGAAATTCTGAGAAGCTGGCATGAGAACTGCGTGCTATGGACTCGGACTAGGCTTCTGGGCAGAAGCAAGCCAACAGGACTCTGATCAAACGATTGCGTCCCTATCCAGCATCAAGCGCCGTTTCTTTGCATAGGTAGACGCCCTAAAGCCCAAACTCCACCTCTAACCTCATAATGGTCCTCTTCGGGAGGAGGTTTAGGGACTTCTTTGATGACCACGGTGGCAAAAACGTGCTAGAGATTCGTGCCTTCCAAGCCCCAAGATGCTTCAGGGCTTCACGAAGCAGCCGCCCCCTGCCCCCATTTTGGGGCACCTGTCGGGGGCCTACCTTTCGTTGCTCCCTTCATGTCAGGCTTTCTGCGTTCCTTCAAGATTACCGAATTAGCACACAGTCGCTTTGACACATAGTCAGTGAGAGCAGGTACCACAACCGCTCCTCTGCGCTTGTACTTGGACCCCAGGTAGCAATCTGAGCCCTCGTAGTTCGGAGCAGATGGATTGTGGAGGTGGGCCTCTGCAATCAACTGCTTGCGGCGGACTAGAAGCTCAAAGCGTGCCAAATTGGGAACTGCCAGGCAATCATAAGTGATCGTTGTATCCAGGATGAGGGTCGACACCTCATCCTCAAAGAATACACGGGATCCTTCGGGGATCCGCGACTGTTGCACCCAGGCAAGGTGCTTAGCGTAATCGTGTACTCTCCGACTGACTCCGTGAAGCCCCGGCGTCGCTCTCCATTTGCCAAATACCGAACAAACATACGAATGTCATCTGCCACAATTCTATCCTCGCCCTCACAGGCTTCCCAGCCTCTTACCTCCTGGACCCGTTGCTTGCAGAACCCTGCGACGTCTTCAGCTCGCACTCGCCGAAGCAGGCACACTCGTCCTTGAGCACCACAGATCTCCATCAAGCCGAAGTCGCCAAGACTAGGATGCCCGGCCGGCGGTTGGACCCTTTCTCCAATCTTTTGCTGACCAACCATCTCGCCAAGAACCCACTGCTGATCGCCCTCTCCGAGCATACCCGCGATTCCACCAGCGTCAATTGGAGGAGCTAGTACTTGGCCTGGGTCCCTTAGTTTTGACCGAAACCGAAACGTTTTGGTGTTGGCTGCATGGGCTGCTGGGGCTCTGGGGCTGCTGGCCCCCACACCCCCCCTTTCCGGGCCCTTGCAGGCTGCAACGGGACACCAGGTGCTGGGGATTTCCACCCCGCCCTCCTTGTGCAATGCCTCCCCCTTGACACCCGGCCCCACCCACCCGCACCCCCCACTCACCTGCACCCGACATGCGCTGCCCTCCGACCGTGGCGCTGCCCCCTTCGCCGCCGTGGCGCTGGCTCCCAATTCTGGGCCCGTTGTTGGCTTCTCGTGCCACAAGCTGGGTCTGGGCAGATTGCTTCAACGCTGCCAGCTGTTGATGTGCCAGCATACGCTGCTCCGAGGGGGATCGAGGAGATCCGTACTCACCGACCGCCTTCCTCCTCATTATTCGCTCGACTTCGAAGACAACAGTTTACCAACCAAATCACGACCCCCAAGGACCAACTGATCAGTGTCACCAAGATGGTGAGCAAAAGACTATCCCGCGTACCTGTGGATGTTTTCTTCGTCTGGTCACGACGACGAGAAGATTTGTCTCGCTGCCCCTCGTTGCCCTCAACTAAACAACACTGCTACCAGCTTGGCAATGATTTCAGCGGTCTTGTGAATCGAGTCACTTTGGCTTTCTCCTTCAAAGAAAACTCGCTCTCCTGTCCACAACCCACCCAGGAAACTGAAGGTATTGACCAAGACTATTGAAAGCAGTGAAGCTGGACGCCCCATGGGAATCTACTCTACCTCCCGCAAAATCTTGAGTACGCAAATAAAAAGACGGCGTAGGCATTTGTTGCCACGCGAGCTCAATCAACCATCTACAAGTAGAGTTCACAGCCCAAACCCCGAACCCGACTTAACCCTTGGTCCCCAGGGTGGCAGCATCTGCAGGCAAGCCGCTGATTTCCTGCAGGCGGCGCGTTGACGACTGCTTTCCTGGCGCTTCACAAACTCAGATGCCTTGGACTCAAAGAACTTCAATCGGGTTCACGGTCCGTATACCTTCCTGGGGGTTGTAGCGACTCATAAATGATTAGCACTCCGACTTGGAGTTTGAAGTGACAAGTTCACGTAGCAGAGCTTGTCCCCAGGCGCACGAAGAGGCAACAGAACTGTTTTGGAGCTATGGGCAAGGGAGGCTTCGACATTGACATGTTTAAGGCTCTTTCAGGCTTGGGCTGCGTGCAAGCAGTGCCGCCTTGTCAGAGAGTTTGCGTCTGTGCCGAAATTGGAGTTCATAGTTCATGGATGACGAACAAGGGGGCAACGGCAACTTGTGCACGTCATGGAGGCCCCCTCAGCCTGAAACCCTCAACCCTACACACAAAACCGCAGAGGAGCCCTAAACCCTAAACCCTAACCCAAAAAACCCTAAACCGTTGTGAAAACCCAGGGGAGGAGTCTCAACTTTGTGCTTTCTTGGGTTCTCGGGGTTCGGACCCAAGGACCCCAGGAGCCAAAGATCACCCTTTTGAACCGTCCACCGAAGGGGACGGCATGAACCATAAAATGGCTTCTTGAGAAGGGCCTTTCAGGGGGTCAGAAGGGCTTTAGGGTGGTCGGGTTCTTACGTAGAAAAGGGGAGCCCTGTCCTGGGCCGGAGATGGTGAACCTTTTCTGAGCCGCAGTCAGTGTGTGTGTGTGTGTGTGCGTGTGTTCCGATGCACGGAGCACTAAACTCAAGGAGATACTCCATGGGAGGTGCCCCTAAACCAAAAACCCTTACTAAACCCTGAGTCGAATTGGGCTTCGGATTGGCTTCTTGAAGGAGACACGAGTACGAAATTTGAGGTAAACTTTTCGAAGCCCCTGATCGTCACCAGGACCCTCGCCCCCTGAAGCTTCCGAAAGTGGAGGAGTGGCACTGGGCAGTCCGAGGCGATATCCCAAATCCTATACGAGCAGCGTCAGAGTTCGCCCCACCAGGCTAAGCGCGGTCAACGTCCTGGGCAAGGGCGCTTTTGGGCTTAGCTCTGGAGGGATTCTGGAACTGTCCACCTGCAGTTTCCAGATTTGAAAACACTACAAACTTCCGAATCCCGAAGCCTCAAATCCCCACCAAAAACAAGTCCCTGTAAACAACGGCCAAGAATGAATCCCTCTCAACCACTCGAAGCCCCACACACCCTAGGGTTTAGGGACAGCCCGCAACATCGGCGACCATGAGACACTTGGAGACCAAATGAATCCTGAAAGTGGGACCACAACCGTCACAACCCCTGTGCTCTGCTCTACCCCCCTATTCTGGTGTATAGACCACCCTTTTGGGGTCCTTTTCTCCCCAAGGGTGGAAATGTAAAAATCCCAAGCCGTTCAACCCTAAACCCTCCCGGTGTGGCTAGGCTTTTAAGGCTGGCTCTGGAGAAGTCTCGAGTTGGTCGAGTGTTTGCATCAAGGTTTGTTTGCCTTAGCCTCTTTTAACGGTGCAGTGGACTTTCGCTCCGCACGAACTCCCGTCCCAGGAGATTTTGGGGTTTCGGGTTTAGGCTTCCCTGGGCAAGAGGCTGCGGAGAAAAACAAACGCTGGAGCTGTCTGCACTGTTGATGAACCGAGAGCGCAGAAGATGCAGTTGGACAAAGCCATATCTTCGTTTATCCACTTGCCACACACCATCTTCAACATGTCGTTCAGGCCAGTTACTTGACAAAGCCTCATGCTAGACACAGCGGGGTCCTGCATACAAATGCCCTTGCAGGTGTCACGCTGCGAGGCTAAGGAGGTTCAGTTTCAGGAGAGTCGCTCAGTGGGAATCTCCACCATATAACGGAGCTGCAGCTCAGCGCTCGCCAAGGCAGCATGGGCATCCGCCCGGATCCTCAGTGCAAACGCAAGCCCAGCTCCCCTGACACTGAAGCGCCCCAAAATGCTGAATTCTTCCTTTCCTTGGAGTGACGACATGAACCCCCAAACACTATATCGTCCGTATACTAACTCGAAGTAGAGTAGCACGTGGTCATTTGCTCCCGAAGGTTTTTCTGAGAAAAAAAACTGATTTGTAGGCCCCTGGCATGGACATCTGGAGAATCCTTGGCTGCTCTCAACCTTTTGAAATTGGGGACCCCCTGAGTTGCTTCGCTGGGGCCGGCACTGGGCTCCCCAGTGGCTCCCCCCAAGAATCCCCAGAAACACTCCTAATGATTGAAACAGGACGACCTGCTCTGAACATCTCTGAACACAACCAAGACTCATTCTTGAGATCTCCAGTATCTCCGAGGTGACGTTCGGCCTGGCCTGCCGGCCAAGTTGGCACTGTTGCCAAACGGGCACAGTGGCACCGGACGGACCTGGGCTATACTGGGAAGCATGAAGAAGCAGGCCAACAAGAAGGTCGTAACAAGGTCGATTAGTTTAATTCCGCTTCCTTTCAAATTCATTCGACCAGGCATATGAAGTGGAAGTAGGTCTGGAAATTGTATTCGAAATACTTGAATCAGCGACTTTGTACTTGTACTGGCACGGATAGCCTGGCCCGATTGCAGGAAAGTAGGGGAGCATTAAGTAGGCGACGATCAGGCCGCCGCCCGGACGCCCGTCATCCTTCAAGGTCCATATACCTGCCTGAGTAGTATATAGGGTATGATGCCAATGTAAGGGCTCATTTGGTTACCATGGGTTGGCCTGGAGGGTGGGGGCACACTGAAGAGGATCTTGCCTTGTGCGGGGTGGGAGGGGGGAAGCACCACAGTCGAGGTCCGGTATGAGGCCTCTGACTTCTTCTCAAGTCATTCGTTTAGCACGACGCATTCAATTGCACCCTGTCCTCTACAGCAGGCCCCGAAAATAACATCCAACCCTAGATTCTGAACCCCAAAAACCCTAAACCCTGGACCAAAAAAAACAAACAAACGGCTAAACCAAAAACCCAAAACGCCCAAACCCTAAACCTACCCTGTATACCCTATATCTTGGGATGTTCCCCCGTATACTAACAGTCCTTAATAGGAATTATCGTATATGCCCCCCCATTACCCTAAACCCTAAACCCTGGAACCCTGAACCCTAAACCCCAACCACAAGCCACAATCTTCCAAAGGCACAGATCTTCATCGACGCCCCGGCGCTGCAATCGCCCCAGGGTTGGCAACCTGGGGGCTGGAGCCTTTGGGTTTACGGCTTCGGGTATGCACCAGCATTCACGCTACCCCCCCGCCCCTCCCACCCCATGGTATGCCCCCCCATCCCCGGTGGTTTAGGGTGGGTTTGGCGTTTAGGGTTTCCCCCCTCCCCCGCCCTGTGGTTCATGGTTTGTGGTTCATGATGGTTGAGGGTTCAGGGTTTAAACCTTAAACCCTAAACCCTAAACCCCCGGTTCCAGGCTGTAGGGTTTAGGGTTCAAGGTTTACCTCCTCTCCCCGTGGCCTGTCGTGGGTTTACAGTTCAAGGTTAAGTGGTGAAGGCTTCGGGTTTCCCTCTTCCCCTGTGTGGTCCATAGTGGGTGCAGGGTTTAGGGCTTAGGGCTTCGGATCTCGGGTTTAGGGATTGGGGGTTCAGATGGTCTAAGATCAAGCAGTCTCTAGTCGAGCTTGTTGTTTAAGCCTAGAAAAAAAAAACCACCCACCCAAAGAATCCCATAACAGGCCGGCATCAGGGTCTGGTGGGCCCGGCATTAATCGTCACAGGTCGGATGGTTTTGAGGGGTGGCCGGCATAAAAAAGGGGTCCAACGATACAGCTGGACTCAACATCCTTCATGGTTTTTCCCAAAATTTACTGTTACAATCACTATTAACACGGGTATATGGATCATAAGCCCCAAGCAGAAACTAAACCCAGAGCCGTACTCGGACGCCCTGCAAGTGTCATGCCGTCCCCAAGGAACCCGTGGCCCTAGGATGCCTCCAAGGCGCTAACCCTGGTGATCTGCACTGTTTCTGAGACGTGGTCGATCCTGGGAGCGCAGCAGGGTTCATAGGATTGTTGGTTTAGGGCTTTTTTTGGTGTTACAGGGTTTATAGGCGTTGTCGGGTTTCAAGGGTTTGTAGGATTTTCGAGTAGCTTATAGGGTTTGCAGGGTTGAAGGGTGCAGTCCACTTAGAAACGTGTTCCCTAAACCTTGTAAACCCTATAAACCCGAAACCCCAAAGCACATGGACATAAACCCTGAACCCTAAACCCTAAACCTTTGCCCACCCTGGAGGCAGCGCTCACGTAATTGATCCTAAACCCTATAGGGCTGTACGTAGGACCTTTATGCGTCTACTAAAGGCGATTGAAAAAATGGAAATTTGAAAAGGCCAAATAAGGCCGATTTAAGAATTTCAGGAACTTTCAAAGTTCTAAAAAAAAATAACAGGCCAAACAAGGCCGGATTTCGGAACGTAAGGAACTTTAAAAAACAACTGGTCAAGGCAGCGCGTCCCTGGAATGGCCCTGGTCAAGGCAGAGCGTCCTTTTTACTTTTATACTCTGGGAACACGGGGTTCCACGACAGCCTCGTCAAGAAAAGGATTATACCCCAAACCCCACCCCATCAAGGCAGAGTGTCCCTAGAACGGCCCTGGTCAAGGCAGAGCGTCGTCTTTACTTTTAACATTCTTGGGAACACGGGGTGCCTCAGGACAGCCTCGTCAAGGCGGTTCAGCTTGGAACCAGCGGCGTTAACGTAGAAAGCTTCCACGCAAACCGCAGCACGGCCAAACGTTCGCTATCCTCGAGAAAAGGTATGTTGCAGCCGAAAAAAAGAATCCTCGACAAGGTCCTCTCGTAGATGATTTCCTTGCTTTACTGTCCTTCGGGGTTTGACTTCGTACAAACAAATCACGGCGCCAACAAACATAAGCAACCTCCTCCCGCTTCGGGTTGTTGTTTCGTGCGGGTCCATGTCCCTCACTCTCCAACAACCCTCCCTTTTCATTTCTCTTTGTTACAACGCAAATAGTTAAAAGCAAGTCACCCTCTTGATAGGGGAATGGGGGGTAGAAAACCCAAAGCCCGTCAAGGTCAAGGTTAGGGTGGCTGGGGCGGGAAGCCGAGCAACGCGAGCGCGGCCCGGGGCGTTTCACACCCGAGCGCGCGCCCTCCCCTGACACACCCTAAACCTTAAACCCTAAACCCTCAACCCTCAACCCCGAACCCTGAGCCCGAAACCCTCAGCCCCAAACCCTAAACCCTAACACCCAAGCATTAAACCCTAAGTCCTCAACCCTAAACGCTAAAGCCTACCCCTGCACCTTAAATCCTAAACGCGATTTCAGCTCGGGTTTTTGTTTCAGGGGTTTGAGAATTGGCGATTCTCTCTTTTTCCAGACTGCGTTGCCACACTATAATGCTCAAGGGGCCCCTATGGCAGCGGCATATATACATACATAACGAGCACCCTGGCTACAAGTACTCTCTCGATCAAGCATGTGTTCACACTCAACCTGTTCTCAGGTGCGAGTGCGATCGATGCTACTCTCGGACTATGTACTGTACAAGTTCCGAGTCATATGCCTACTGCTTGGGCCCACATACGATTACAATCTCCTGGGTGCGGTAGATTGTACCTGTGGTTCACGCGGAGTAACTCACGCAGTGGTTCTGCGGAATGAGTTGCGCAGCTTCTACGTCAACTTCTGTCGACTCACCTTGTATTTTCCTGTCACAATGATTCGGATCAGGAAATCAGGTTTCATTGACTTTGTTAAGCAATCGGCTGCCTGAGTGGCTGTATCTATCCAGTCCACTCGATCTCCACCATCGTGGTAGACTTCCACGGTCCTTCTTCCGTCATCTAGGAAAATCGACTGACGGAGCGCAGATAGTTCAATCTGCAGGCGCTTGTCTTGCACGCGAGCCGGCTGCTCTGCGTTCAAGTGCGATACAAGACTCTTGCAGTCACTCAATGTAACATGCAACACCGTGGATCGAGCAGCTGTTTCCCAGTCTGCTCCATGTACTGGATATCCGCGAAGCTCGGCAAGTGCAGCGCGGATTCTGTCTCCAGCTTCTTGCGCATTCTGCAACGCATATGTCTCTGCCTGTAGGGTTGCTCTGCATACCCTTTTGATGGTTGTACTTGCGAATGCAATAACGAACACATCATACTCTGAGCACTCTGGGTCTCTGAGTTGCTCAATCGGACAGAGAAAGTGAATTCTGCCTTGCTGCGGACGGCTTCCCGTTTCGCCTGCGAAACTTGCGTCTGATGCGGTCAGTACGCCTAGTTTCTCGAACGTGAACGGGCCATTAAAGTACCTTAGCTTAAGGTCTTTACCCTTCAAGGCTAACTCTAGAACCTTATTCGCATCATGTAGCACTGCAACGGTTGCTCCTTTGATGCTTGCTTGAAGCTTCGACACGCGATATAGGATACCGGGTCTTGCTTGTCTCGCAATCCATGACAAACTGCCAACAACAGAACGGAGCTGTCGTTCTTCACCCTTGGTTAGGAGGTCTGATGCCTTCCTATTCGGGCCTATGTCGATATACTTAATTTTCTGCGTATTATCGACAACGTCAATGAGCACATCATGGCCTGATGTGTCAAACTGCTTGCCACAGAAGCGTAAACGGTTCTTTTCACGTCTGCCAACTTCAAATCTTGACAATAGGCGGTCTATTACGGATCCACCCTCATCAACAGATGCCCAGAGGAAATCGTCGACGCGCGTTGTGAGTACGCAATCGACTCCTGACTTTCCTCTATGGTAGCAAAAGGCTGGGAAAACGCGGCTCACATTAAGTCCGCAGTCACGCGCTTCCTTATCTACTTTCTTCCAAAAACCACGGCCACTATCACAGAGTCCATAAACCGGTACCCTAATGATAAGCATAGCATCGGGTTCCAATCCTGGTAACCCTCCGCTCGGTTGGCGCATGAGTACGACCCTATCAATAGGTGTCGCTTGGAAGTAAGCATTCTTGATGTCCGAACTCTCTATCGGTACACCATGGGCTGCTGCAAATGCTGCCACTAGGCCATGCGTCTCCAGATCGCTGGTAGGCGCATCGGTCCTAACACCAGATGCTTCTTCAAAGTTCCCGCAACTAACAAGTCGGGACTTAAACTCAGGTTCGAATTTATCATCCAGGCGTTGATGATAATTCTTTATTGTGTCGACCCACTTGCTGGGTATCGGCACATGTCCTGCATCCAAAAGATCAGACAATTCGCGTCCCTTTATCGGGATCGCGGCATCGAAGTCTCCGTACTTCTTCCACTCCTTTGCTCGGCTCTCGTCGATCTTGCGCTGTATCGACGGCGGCTGTTCCCAGTACTTGAGGCTTTCCGTCAAGTGTTCTCTGCTAAGAGAACGGTTTGTCCAGAACCCTACGAGTTTCTGACGCCTTGCGAAGTTTGCTGCCTCTTCGTGCTGAATCTCTCGCAATCTATCACGGATTTGCATAGGAAGATCATTCAGCAATTCCGCGCGAGTGTCTCGAGAGGCTCTTGAGGAAGGAGTCCTCTCGGCATCGGGCTCAGCTACGCTCTCGCGTCGAGTAGCGGCTGCCCGTGGCGGCGATCGTGACCTCTCTCTAGGTTCACGTGGTGTGGCCTCTGCTTCTTCATCCTCTATGTCTTCGAAGAGAACCGGAAGCGGGCCTTCCAGCAAGTCGCTGATTCCATAGGGAGCATCTTCTGCTTCCCCATCTGCCTCTTCGGCTTGCGGCAAAACGACATCTGGGTCAAGAGCGGCATCCTCTTGAGGTACGCCTCTGGCGTCTTCATACCCTTGCTGACCATTCACAATGGATTCGGGTATGACACTGTGACCATTTAAGATTGCATGGGCGATAGCCTCAGCGTCGTGAGCGGGCCTCACGTTCTGAGCTGAAACTAAAACAGGAACATTTTCACACAGAACCCAAATGTTCTCACCATGCTGACCCTCATGGCCTATAACCCTCGATGCGGGAGACCATGTAGTCTTCCCTTGGTTGTCACGCCTGAAGCAGATCACATCGCCTACGGCGTATGTGTTTGGAATTGGTCTTGCATTGCGCAGGAGAGCTCTCTGGACTCTCTTAGAGGTGTCCAGATGCACACAAAGGCTTGCTTGGCTGCTGTACGCGCTTGGTGTATCAGCGCGAAACGGCTTGCTTGGTCCTCTAGGGATCCAAGGTCTGCGCTGTTGTCTTCCTCCACTAAGGATGGAGGGGTTGTTGGGGTCTTTCCAAGTACCCACTGAGCAGGAGAATACCCTCCGTGCCTCAACATCGAATTCTTGATTGTTGCGCACTCATCTAGGAGAGTTTGCATTGCGTCAACTCCAGTTGCCTGTGTTTGGCTAACTGTCTTGCGAAACATGGCCTTGAGCGCACCACCGTGTCGCTCAACACGACCAATGGCTTCTGGGGTCTCCAATGGAGCATGGATCACCTCGATTCCATGAGCGGAACAAAACTGTGCCAAAACTCCTCGGTTATGGAGCCCTCTATCGCATCGGATCGTGTGAGGCATGCCTGCCCAACACGTCCACTTGTGTTGCAGAGCCTTCAAGCACTTAGCTGAAGTTGCTTGACCTGGGCCTTCCTTGACAATTTCTGTGAGCTGAAAACAGGTCCCTAAGCACACCGTGTTGAGTACCTGAAACTTGCTACCAGCTGCATCTTCAACTTGGAGAATGTCAATGCCCAATGCATGGTTGAATGCATATCGCTCTGGTAATGCCACTACGTGTGCATTTCTTCTCGGTGCATTGGTCTCGCACTCATTGCACCTATGAAACTTACAGGCTTCTATGTACTTCTTATCAACCTTAGCTGCTCTAAGTAGATTAAGAAGAACCTTTTGTGGACAGTGTCCAAACTGCCTGTGCAAACGTCGGATCGCTACGCGTATCCTCTGTGGAAGTGCTTTCCAGTTAGCCCGTCGTGATGCTTCATCGGCGGGTAACCCTGGCACATCGACTTCATCCAACTCAGTGTCCTGTTGGATGCTCTCCTCTGTTGCATCGCCTCGTGCAA